AACAATACTTTTAAATCATACAGTTGTTCAAAAATAAGTGTCAAAACTGCAACACAGTAAAACAGATGAGCTAATACATCACTTTAAAAAAATTTTGTAAGAATAAAATTGGTAAGATTTTCAATATGCCACACAATTTTGTTTCAACAATGTTAGAAAGCTAAAATTTCGCAAAAAAAATTCAAAAACTACTAGATAAATTGTGTAAAGTTTTAAATCTGTTGGTGTATAAACGGAACCCCACCGTGGGTTTATTGCCCCCACCCTGTGTATTGCGTAATACATTTCGAATTAAGGGTGTAAATATTCAATTTTATGTTTAAATAATTTCCAAATCTTTATTTGCAACTAATGACCCAATTTTGCAAGATTCGTTGCTCAAAAGAAACATCACAAGAACAGCAAATTATGAGAAGATAACTGAGATATAAAGACCCAGGAAGGATTGATGAGATTTTTAATAACTGCTGATGACCTGCACTGATGTACAGGCTCATCCCACCACAGATGGGTTTGGCCATTTTATATTTGGATCTGTTCCTAAAGAAAAAAAACTTTCATGTTTTTTCATCTCTTAGTATTTTTGATTACATACCATTTAATGTTTATACCTACGATATAATAATATGTTAAAAAATGTTTTTGTTTAGATTTAAAGTGTTCGATTTTTATTCACCATTATACTTTACTTGTCCCTTAATAAGTTTGGGTTCCGGCTATGTAGGTGATCAGTTATTGTTGATCCGATAACAACAATTTTAAAACATAATGTGGTATGTATGATAAGCATCAACAAATGACGTCACTGGCCTGAATCTTATTCCAAGTATACACGTATTATCATCGTTTGGAATTTATATTTTTAACCTTTTTACAGCTCCATTAAAATATTACTACAAACATTTAATGTTTACTTTCCTGTTGGTGACGTCATTGTGCGTGTGATGTCATTGATCCATACCGTTACTGTTTTAATATCCGTGATTGGTAGTATATTGGGTGCATGTAAAAATGTGACGCTAGTAGGTAGTCCACAATGTCCCAGAATCATTGTAAACAGATTTCCTTCTGTTTAAGAAACTTGTTATTTGGAGGATTTCACCATCAAAAATAAGTTACTTTTAGCTGTCTCTTATTGTTAGTTGTTAGACCATACCAATCCTCCACAACATAACTTCTCCTATGCACATATCTTTGTAATTTTGAGCAATCGCCATAAAATGAATTCCTTTAACAAACAAAATGTGAACAGAAGTAGAAAATTATTGTTTAATTTTTATCATCCTGAAAAACTGTCATGAATTTAAGAGCAATGAAGGATTGTTGGAAAACTTGGTTAACTGGAACGGTCCAGTTCCCCATAGTGATTATGTTCTGTTTAAGTATAATAGAAACTGGATTAAGATATTCACGGATAGATAAATTGACAACCACACTAAAATACCATAGTGCAAAGTTGAGTCAATGAAAAATGTTTACAAATTGTTGAATTGGATGAATTTGACAATAGCTCCGTAACTCCCACTTGACAACTGAATTAAATTAACCGCAGTTTTATTAGGGTTGTGTAATTAACACAGTGTGTATTGGGGCATCACTTTTTACCAGATATTTTGTTCATATATCCAAATATAATACCTGACACCGGATAGCAAAAGTGAACTAAAGTAAATATCCAATAGATAAAGCAATATTTTGCAACACTATAAACAAACAAAAAACCCCCAAAGTGTGATAATGTGTTATTGGACTAAGGATAGGGTTTAGAGTTTGTTTACATATGTTGACATTATACCCTTTACTCAATATTTTACTTATCAAATTGGATACAGTAGTTAATGGTTAGATGTGCTTGATGTACCGGTAGGTGGATACTTTGTAACGAAGAGTGTACAAATGATATTGCACAAGTTAAGTTGATCATGAATGGTCCTTTTAGAAATTGGATACACCCCAACTCCAGATCTTTAACGTTTATCTGCCACAGACATGTTCTGTGTTGAGGGTCAGGGTAGAATTGGACAACATCCAACGTACAATGCCACTCTGATTCTTAGTAATTTAATCATCAATAATAACCTGAAGCCATCATAACTTTTACTAACTTAATGGAGATGATTTAATGCACTTCAATTTTAATATGCCTGTAACAAGCACTATTTGGCTAGTTTTTTTAATTTTTTTTTTTGTTATATTTTGGAGCCACAATTTTAAAGATAATCGAGGTGTATTTTTGTGGCAAAAATGTGAAGCATTAAGATTAATAAATTGTACTGTATACATTAATCAAAAAGAATATTTGAACAAAAGGTGTTAAAAAAAGAACACAAATATATACATGAAAAAACTTGCACCCAGTTAACATGCTGAAATGAAATTCCCATTAGTTTGTGGTTATCCCAAAAGTTGTATTAAATTGTATATTTAACCGTACTTATTTTCTGTTATGTTTGTACCACAGCTTTTATGCTTTGATTAAGATCATATACAGTCATGTGTAAGCACGTTTAATAACAAGGCTTACTAGACTACACAGGGTGATTTTGTAATTTAAAGTTTGTTTTACTGGTAAATGTTATCAGTTGAGAATTTAATCACACAACTCAACTGAAGACTTGGATCGTAAAACGGGTCCTGGAATTTCATTTAAAGCGAGTTAGTAACCTCAAAATGTTTACACTACAGATGACTCAGTACTGACAAATAATTTGAAGACTCTGTTCTTACATCATAGCATTTTTTTTTTTTACACTTTAAGTAAGTAATTTTATTTAAATTATTTCAAATCTATTTTTGAGTAATTTAACTTCTTTTTTTTACTCCAGTTTCTAATACAATTAATTGTGTATCGTTGTAAATATGTCAATTTGTGTCTTTGTATGTATGCTTCAAGAGGTGACTGGAGCTTTTAGATAAATCCTGAAACTACTCTCACTACAAATATAAGTTATGTAGTTACTTCTTCTGTAGTAAAGACCAACAAGATTCTTGATAAATTTGAATGTTTTGTGAAACTTTTAAAATGTTTCTATAAAATATTTCCTAGCTTTTAAAACAAGCGCTTATTAAACAGTTAAAAGATTATGTTTACAAAAGGGAATACAAAAGCAATGCAGTACCCGGAGATAGCCCCTGATTATTTAACAAACAAAATTATGTCCTTTGGGAGGGCAAGCAAATAGTCCAGCTTAACCAGTAAGCACTAACAATTACAACAGACAACACAAATTATGCTTTCAGATATTTTTTATACACAAACCAAGAAAAAGTGTAATGACACTGGTAATGACCTATTTTTACACATTTAAGTACGGTAACCATAAACTTTCAAGAAATTTATCATGGTAAAACATGTATATCTAGCTTCTTTACCAAATACTCCAGAGGAATGAAAACAAATTTGTAAACATTACATGAGGTAAGAAGTATTTGAATAACCATTGCAAACAATGAAATATATTGTACAGGATTTTTTACTATAATGCAGATATGAGAATAGTTGGTTTCATCATGTAAATTCACTCTGGTTTTAACACAAACATATGGTATCTGGTAGCAGGAGGTTACTCAGCCAAACTGTCCAGAGGATAGATTTATTGGATAATCTTGGCACACATAAGTTTCCTTCCACCAGCAAATGGTGTGTGTTCTATTTTGTATACCCAAACTGGGTTCAAAATTAATGTGTTTCAAGGTATTATTCGGTTAAAATGTTAGAATTGTCTTTAAATAAACAAGTTAGCTATTTTTAATAATTTGTACTTCTGTGTGCTGAGATTATGTTTGTGACTTGCATATAACATATGTTTGTTGATATGCATACATATGTTGTTGCATATGTTTGTTAAGGTCGATTTGCATATATCAGTTACGGTACGTCACAGTTCACTAGTTCAGACATATCAGTCAAGTCACAGTCAACCAAAATATTATTTAATGGATTTTCTATTGCGCTATCTACAATCATCCATTGCAGTTCCTTCAGTCACTGTGCCGGCGTGCGTCAGTCAATTTCAGATTTCTTTTCACCGATATTTTGGGATTGTTCGGACACCTGACGTACGTGTTTGAGGTTAGAAAATAGTACTTTTTTAAATTAAATGATAAATGTTATAATAAACATATTAAATTATCGTGTTTATAATTTAAGTAATGTTTGTAATAATCAACAAGACAGACGATGACAATTTGATAGAATATTGTGTTTTAATAAACACTTTTGACTGTAACAACACTGTAAATAAAGTGACGGAAGAGTGACTGAAACCAACTGACTTACAGTATGTTGTCTGGGGAATTGCAGATGCAACTGGTACTGGACTGTAACGGAACTTTGACTGAACTGGTATGTGTGAATTGACCTTCAAACTATTTGTAAAACGATTTTGATAATTACGGTATGGTGTCATTACTGTTACACCAATGTAAACATTTATGAGTTATGGAATGGTTTATTTTACAATGAATTTGAGAAGAACAGTTTGTACATGGAACAAATTATCTTTCAGCTAGTTTTATTGATTCGTGAGATCTCCTATTGAAAAATGTACCTCCAACGACCAATATATTTGTCATAAACCAACTTCCACTTACAACAATCTATGCAAGTAGTATTACTCAACAAAATGGCTGTAAGCTATACTTTTGCATCAACTTGGGTCAAGAAGGCCGCTGCTACACTTTCCGTTATCTGTTGCGCTTCAGAGTGTAAGCCACGACTGGCAAGTAAAAAAATGAAAAATTAAAATGAAAAATGGATTTTGCCGCGATCTCGGCTTCTGCCTTTTTTTAACAACGATTATTATTACTGTGGTTTTAATTTTTTTTTATTATTTCTGTTAGCCATTTGGCTAATCGGCTATTCAGATAGCAGGAGTTTGGATAATTGGAGTTCTAGTGTAATTTCAAAATCTGTAAAACCCTTAAAACCTTTCAAAATATGTTTAACTACTTTATAAAAATTAATAACCATTCTTTTAACGGTAATAAACAAAACTAAATTAAGACAAAAGCAAAGATTTATTGGTAGAATATAACATTTAAGAAAATATACTTATATAAACAACAAGAATATAAATCTATAATAAATTAAGGCAAATTCACAAATTGACAATTCAACAAGCTTAACAGATCTGTTAGTTATAGCTAAAAGCCTTTAACAAATGTTATATTGACACAACCTCAATACACAGTTATGATTATATTTCTTGATTCATTACATCACAGTAATAATTGTGCAATTACAAGCAATAGCTTAGCAAAAGTGATTTATTACCTGAGTAGCCATATAAATTAACTAAAAAAAATAAAGTTGTAAATAGGAAACATTTTGATTCAATTTTTCAAGTGGCACTATAAGCTACACAATATTCTAATTTTAAATAATCTTACATGCAAAAAGGTAAAAAATGATAACTAGTTTTTGAAAATTTATAAAAGTTTCTTGTGTGAAAATTAAGTGGAATGTATTAATCAATAAGATATTATGAGTTATGTATAGTAGGGGTACCAACATTACAGCAAGTTTAATCTTGTCTTTAGTGTTAACTGAGTTTTAAATAAATAATACCAAAAAGCCACAACTGCAGACTAAAGTACAAACCGAAGGAGAAATCAATATGAAATGCATAGAACCTGAGTTGTATTGAGCAGAATTTAGTGGAAAATAAAACGCTAGTCTTTCAGTAATTTCAGATTGAATGGCACTTTTAACATACACTTCTAGTTCTTAGCAACCAGGCACTTCATATTTCTACAAAATGTATTGCTTTTGAAATTAACTTGTGATTTATGTCTATTAAAAATGTTCCACAATGATTGGGAATCATGTCTTTGTTTTCTCGCTCTTGTAAAAAAAAAAAAATCTATTGTATATTCACTACAACTACAAATATTTGAAAGGTTAACAATACTTCACGTCCTACAGTCTTTCATTTTATAATAATTGTATCATTGTTTTCATACCAAAATACTGTTTTAGCAAAATTAATATATTAATACACGCATAAAAAATTAAAAGTACCCAGTTGTTCTCAATAGTTAGTTGAAAACGTCGTCATAAACAAATTATTATGTTTAAGTATATTTTAAGTAACTTTGTAAATTTTTAACTACAACTATAAAGTTTTAAAGATACTTGCCTAGCTAATGTGTAAATAAAATACATTTTTGTTGCATATTTAACATTAAAACTATAACGCATACCAAACTTAAAAAAAAACATACATATTTATAAGTCACAGCAGCTATTTCCTTGGAAATATTTAAAAATCTTTTTCCTTTAAGCAGTTAATTGTCTAGATTTATGTCTGAGCCATTTTAGTAAAAATGTATGTTTTGCTTCATATGTATGATTGCTTCATGCTTGTATGATTTCAAATGTATTAGTGCTGAATGGATACTTTTGCTGAGAGGACCATAGAGACGGTCCAGATTAATTAGAGCACAAATGTTTTAAGTTTAAACAGGAAACCATTAACCATTAGACCCATATGAGTTGTTATCCCTAACATGCTTTGAACACATTGTGCAGTAGAGTATCACTAGCAGGGCACCTTTAAGAGACAAGTGCTAGCAGCACTTTCTTGTAGTCACCAGATGTATCCCCCTGCAAACATTTACAATTTAGATTTAGAATATATTTTAAAGTAAAATCAACAATTTAAAAAAAAACTCTTTTAAAATATCAATGTCTTTAGAGTAGAAACATCACAGAAGACGAAGATGATGTCTCCGCGACCTGATCACGAATTGACGATATTACCTTGAGTTATTCTTGATTGAAAATCTTAGGTTGGCTCACTTTTAGTTATATAATACAATTTTATTTTTTTATTTTGACCAAAGACTGACATGGTGTCTATGGGCCATAGGAGTAAATAATGAGAAAAGTTTGTATTTTCCTTAGAATAAATCTTCATCTGGCACAGTTTTTTTCCAAAAAGTAAGATTTGTAATTAGAATATTGAAAGTATTTTTTAGATTTAGAATATATTTTAAAGTAAAATCAACAATTTAAAAAAAAACTCTTTTAAAATATCAATGTCTTTAGAGTAGAAACATCACAGAAGACGAAGATGATGTCTCCGCGACCTGATCTCGAATTGACGATATTACCTTGAGTTATTCTTGATTGAAAATCTTAGGTTGGCTCACTTTTAGTTATATAATACAATTTTATTTTTTTATTTTGACCAAAGACTGACATGGTGTCTATGGGCCATAGGAGTAAATAATGAGAAAAGTTTGTATTTTCCTTAGAATAAATCTTCATCTGGCACAGTTTTTTTCCAAAAAGTAAGATTTGTAATTAGAATATTGAAAGTATTTTTTAGATTTAGAATATATTTTAAAGTAAAATCAACAATTTAAAAAAAAACTCTTTTAAAATATCAATGTCTTTAGAGTAGAAACATCACAGAAGACGAAGATGATGTCTCCACGACCGTGGGAGATGATCTCGAATTGACGATATTACCTTGAGTTATTCTTGATTGAAAATCTTAGGTTGGCTCACTTTTAGTTATATAATACAATTTTATTTTTTTATTTTGACCAAAGACTGACATGGTGTCTATGGGCCATAGGAGTAAATAATGAGAAAAGTTTGTATTTTCCTTAGAATAAATCTTCATCTGGCACAGTTTTTTTCCAAAAAGTAAGATTTGTAATTAGAATATTGAAAGTATTTTTCTTAATGCCATTAATTTTAGAGAAAATTAGTGAGTAATTCCTGCCTGACAAAACGAGAGTACACATGTCTATAATAAAGATGGATAAAGAAGAATATGAAAGTTTTTTGTCTTTAGAACCTATTCTGTAGCAAATTTAAGCTCTTAAGAAAGTCAACAGTAATTACTACAAAAATGTTCTGTACTTACGGAAATGAAGCTCTCCAGTGTTTTGCCGTACTTTTCCTCAAAAGCGCGTTTGATGTCCCCGAGGTCAATCTCAGAGCGAGAGACGATGATGCGTATCAATGTCTTATCCTTGGTGCCTACTCCAGCCATTGAGTCATGCAGCCTTTCAGCAAAGAATCCAACCTTGCTCTTCACACACCTTGCTGTATAAAACCAGTGACAACTCTTGAGTGGACAAAAACACTAGAACTTCATTTCTAACTCAACAATGCAAGGAAAGTAAATGAGATGTTAAAGAATGAGGTCAACTCAAAGGATTGAATACTGTTCACTGACAACGGTTTAGCCATTGAGAACAGACATTAAGTATGTCTAGCAAATGTAAGAAGAAAAAGATTGTGGGGGGATATTGCTAGGAACTTTCCCACAAGTGATAGTCTGTTATTGATCCCCAAGAATCACATCACTAACCACAGCTCTCTTGGTAAACCATGACTCACAAAGAATTGAAAATGTTTTTTGTCCGTCACAGTAGAAGAGTGGACTGTAGGTCCAAACTGTTGACAGGATAAATAAATGAACTGTCAGTTGTCTATTTAGGCAGTTATATCTATATATTAATGGATATTTGACATTCTTCACAAGACCAATAAATTATAGTGTGAAAGAAGGAAACTGTAGTCATAATTATCTATCTATTATATTATTAAAGTGATACAATCAAATTTTATGTAAAAGGTTAAGGTGTAGCTTAGAGTGTGTAGATTTGCCGAAAAGTATTGATATATGGACGAATTTCCTAAGGGCTCTGCCCCACAGGCTGATTTGCAAAGGGCTACGCCTGGCATGCTTCCAATGATTAAATGATTTAATTTAATTTAGTTAATGAAACAGCTGGTCAGTACAATAAACTGGTGTTTGTTTATTTACTCGAAAAAGATATTTTTGAAGCTTTATGTAGATTGAGGAGGGTTATGTTTGGTTTTAAAGTGAGGTTGTATACGTTTTGTAAACTATTGCTTAAAGTTTCAATTTTTAATTGATATAAGCTACATGTGAGGAGGCTTGACAAAAATTGAAGAATTATGGTAAACATGTCATTCATGAAGCATCAATATGAAGCAATTGATGCTATTGCTACACTAAGGCATGTTGTCATATTCTTATGGATCTATTAACATCAAAAGCAGGGGTTTGAAAGTAAGTAGTTTTACACTTTTAAATCAGTTTATATATTTTCAAATTAAATCATAGTGTTGCTGTATTTTAAAACACACATCAGCACCACTGTAATAGCTCTCTAGGTCACATTTTCTTCCCGTTGCAAAGCACGGGTGTTCTGTATTTAATTAATCATTACTATATTTATCATCATAATTATTGTTCAATTAGTGGTAGCTTATTTCCAAACCAAATCTGTATTTTTAAATCTCATTTCAATTTCATTAAGTATTGTTGTATCAAATGTTAGACTCTCACTCACACAAGCCTACATAAAACACACACACTATCTCGGCTGTGTTGCGCGATGCAGGACGAATCCTATTGGTTAAAAAATGTGGCGTGATATGGACATGGATAAATTTGCGGCACCCCTCTAAGAAACATTGAGGTAGCGTCCCTTCCCCCTCCAAAAATAATGTTCAGTTGAAATGTAACTCTCCTCGGCTGAATACGTGCATTGCGCCGTATTTCGTTAGTCTTTCTCTATTTATAAACGTTTACCGCTAAAACCGCTTCTCGGACTCTCTACTGCTCTTTTATCGTTCTTCACGAACAATTAATAAAACTTTCTTGACGTTAAACTATGTAAAAGGTGTTTTTTTTAATAAGTTATCGCTGCCGCCGCTAAGCAGTTTCCGTCCGCCGCGTCTTCGTCGCGAGTACCAGGAACTTGTGTCAAGTGCCAACTTTAGTGGATTAGGATTACTGGATTCCCCACAAGTGATCCCCAAAAGTGTGCACACTTCCCTCATCTCTACTCAATCTACAAGTTGGCTACCCTCTTCCCAAGACGTCGTCTTCCGCCATCCACTCACGGCTTCCACCCATGTGCCACCTCTACTCTCTAGTGTTTCTTGTTACTCTTCACCCTTGGATTATTGGTGAGTCATATATTACCCTCTTTACGCCCCAACGGGTATAGCAGCCTTTTAAACATTACATTATTGAAACAATATTACAGCTGTCTCATAGCGATTCATAGACTTGCCTCAATTGAAACCCTTCCACAGGGAAAAAGATGTTGAACAAACTACCTAATAGTATTAAATCAATTATAGCAACTTTTGAACATAAAAAAAGGAAGTTACAAAATTGCTCATTGATGAAATGTACTAATATTATGATTTTTTTTATGTTTTGTTTGTATAATTTCTGAGCATTTTGTTTTGGTCGTGTAATGGAGGGTAGGCTAGGCAAGCTAGGTTGATGACCTGGGGTCAGGCCTTGCTACCTCGGAAGCGTGCTGGAGGTGTTTTTGTAAACACTGAGGGCTTGCACTCAGTAGCTATCGGGTTCAATAAATAGGCCCCCTGAGGTAGAGCAAGTGGTCAGTCGGCCAGGGCAGGGTGGCCAGAGGTGTTGAGTGAGTACTGGTTGCTCTTAGGGTTAGGCCCTTTAGCTGGGAGTTTTGTAAGGGGAAGTACTATTTAAAAGGGGGTTAAGAGTTAAAGAGGGAGTCGTGTGTTTTGTTGGATTTAAATAAGGGGATTTGGTTTAGATTTTTTGATTGGTAATACAGTACGTGCAATTGCCGTTTCATTTTTGGGGATATTATATTCAGAGTTCTAACTGCCTCCAGGACTTTTCAAAATATCCACCCATCAGTTGGTTTGTTGTTAATTGTTGTGTAGAAATAGTTGATTACCTTGGAATAATAAAGGTTTTTGTTATTATAATAGAGCTACGTCTTGACTTATTATTTCTGGGGAAATCAACCCTTAATACCCAAGTATTCTCATACGATAAATTATTAAAGCTCAGAGCAACGCCCTTATGTGACAATAGCCTAAGCAATAGAGAGGGTCTAGGTATTGTGTTCTTCACAGTTGTTATGCACTTTGATTGTTTATGACTATCTCACCCGTTTCCCAGCTCTGCTGGTTTTTGGAACATTTTGTGAAAATAAGTTGTTGACTATAAAGGGATGAGTGAGTTAAGCCAACCAAATATCTACTGATTAATAATTCTTTGCCTAAAAACATGACATAAAATAAAATTTATTTTAGTGTCAGAGGATTGCTAGGAAAGGTAGAGAAGATAGTTACAGAAAACATTCAACTGCAAGATGAGATGAGCTGATAGTTACACCTACCAATAGCAAGTAGGCCTTTCTGTATGCTGCCTGAGAACTCTTCCTTGATAGCCTTCTCAATGTCATTTCCAGAGAGTTTCTCATACTCTAGGAATGTCTCTCTCAGTTGCTGATAACTGTTGGTCACCAGAATGCGGTTGAACACTGACTCGTCAGTCCCCCACTTCATCTTTTCACCTATAAGGACAAGGGAAGTTTGACAATAAGCAGCCGTATCTTGCAAACGTCAATTAGCCTAAATCAAATTCCAGTTAAAATATATTGAACACTTCAGGGAGCACACGTTGGTGGAACAGACTGAAGCACACTATTTTGGTCATGACTGGAGGGGGAAATCCGGACGACACTCCAGGGGGGGGGGGGTGGTGAGCCATAAAACTGCAGTGGTGAGGAGTTACTTCCAAATTAATCAGCAATAAAAACTGTAAAAGTTAAATACTTGTAAGCTAATATTTATTTACCTTTACCATCTTGTTTTTTTACAATTTAATATTATTAATATGGACCGGTAGCCTACTTTTTATTTTTATTTTTAAGGTATTTAAAAGCTAAAAGGAAAGAAAAGCTGATCCAAGGACAACTTTATTCTAATGACAGACCACCTGTATATATACAATGTAAACCTTATGTACCAATAAAATATTTTTCATTCGCTAACACTTTTTTAGGACACTCTTTTCCCTAACATTCCTTAATATTTTTTTAGACTAATGCTGATGTGATCAAAAAGACTAATGAGCTCATTTTTATCTTTCAAGAATCAAGAACAATGCGCCAATAAAATACTTGGCCAATGCCAATGCGTGTGGTGGGTAGAAATCCATTGTGATAACTGAAAACCGTCACATTGATTAATATAACCTTAAAATATTTTGTAATATGGGCCTATTATAGAACAAAATTTATAAACTAGGAACATTACCTGCAGCAAACAAAGCTTCAGCATCAGCCTTAGCCTGTTCATGGTTTACGTTGGGATCTTCAGACCGATTTGCCTGCAACAAACACAATCTTATCTCTTTTTACGGAAAATGTTCAAATACACTATATTACAGTAGAACCTCTTTAATCCAAACTAATTGGGACGGGGGGTAGTTTTGGATTACAGAACATATTGGTGTTTTTACATAATAGCTAAAACGTGGCTAAAATGGATCATAATTGTTAACGGGATTTAATACAGTAGTAAACAATACTGTACATTACAATAGAAACAATTACAGAGTGTATATCAATAAATACAGTATACAATAAAGAACTACTGTACTGTGTATGGAGTACAGCAATGAGGCGTTTGGATTGTTGGACGTTCGGAGTACGGGGGTTTGGATTAAAGAGGTTTTACTGTATTCATGATTTTAATTTTGAATTATGAATAGTAGGGTAAAAAAACAACATAGAATTCTGAAAAACATGTCATCCTTGTTTAGTTAACTCACCTTTGAATGTGCTATTGGTTCATTAGTTTGATCTTCTGGTTTGAAAGTCGAGATTTCTTTGATTTTCTTTGTCGGGATTTGTCAATGCTTTGAGGCACAGTTTCAAGGTTTACAATCGGCTTAAGGTAATTATAATGTTATTGACTCAGCTGGCACAACCCATTGAACACATTACGAATGGGGTGAGTAGCGCTGCCTCCCCACTCCTCAGTACAGCCGCGCTGACTTCAACGGAGCTCCGGCGTGTCCCCTCCTTAATGTTTAATCCTCCTAGCTTTAGACTGATTTTAAAAGATTGTTTAGATATTTGAATAACTACCTGACAAAGTGAGACGCAGAGCCGTTTGAAGTGGCCAGATGTATCTCCTACTAAATCCTTCTCTAATGTTGTATTGAACACTGTAAAAACATGGAAAATTGTCATTAAAAACACAAATCAGCTACTGTTGTGTAGGTAATCAAACTATGAAGAGCATATGAGCTAAAACATATAAATGCTTTCTAAAATAAAATGTAATTCCAAGCTCAACTACCTACAGAAATTAACTAAAAATAAATTAAGTTTATGTTTACCACAAGTCTTCCTTTAAAATTACGGCGTATTTTATCTTATTTAGTGAATGAGCGCTCTTAGTAGTGATAAAATATATTAGTATATTGCTTTATTTGAGTTAGCTGACAGTGAAAATTTAAAATAATCAATTTAAACCACAATTGTTTGCCACACAAATATAGTAATGTTTAATATCTTGGACCAACAGACAGCTTATGTATAGTGGACTGTGATCAAATAGTAGTACACTCAACTCCCGATTATCTGTAATCGGCAGCTGGCGTAGCCAGGATTTCAGTTCGGTTCAGGGGGGGGGGCCTCCAGGGGGTTTGGGGGGTATGGAATACCTGCCAAGCAAAAGGGGGGTGCAGAGAAATAATTCCAAATTTGGGCTTCAACTAGAGCAATTTAAGGCCATTTTACATATCCGGGAAGCCTCAACCCAACTGTTTCCCGGTTTATCGGGAGTTAAATGTAGGCTAGGTATAAATTATAAGTTCAGTCCCCAACCATTCATGATTAAAAATATGTCTGCCCGAGAGCGTGTGTCCATTATTTTTCATCAAAGCTGAATTGGCTGATGGCTAATTAAATCTCTAACATAGAATGCAGATTGGTTGTATGTATGAACTTTATCTGAATCTTGATCTAAATAAAGAAAAAAGTACAGTAGTAATTTAATTCAAAAGGAGTAAAATATGTAGAAGAGAATTTTCATAGACTATCACTTTTCAATATTATAATATGATGGCTTAGAAGACGCTAATAAACAACCCAAAAAAAAACAACCTTATAAAATAGGCTACTTAAATTCAAATAAATAAAACTAACTTTTTTCATAAAACGCAGATATAGTTTTGATCCCATAGTTACTCAGGGTACAAAGGATTTCTATAATAGCTTCCTCATCAGTTCCAACGCCTGCCACGGCGTTATGAAGCTCTTTCGCGTAGAATGACGGAAGAGGGGTCATCAATGCAACAATCACATCTTCAAACTTTCCACTCAACTCACTCTTCAAGTCGGATAACAAGTCCTACAAACAAAATAACATTACAATAACAAATCCATATTAATTAATTCAAGTAACTTGTGAAAGTAGTAACATCTTCACAGAATAAGAAACAATTTAACAGATTTCGATAGGCCTATAAGGAAAGGAACAACTGGGGATCAACAAAATATCTGTTGGCATGATGATAGAAACCTACAAGGAATTTGAAGTTTCTTTTATGAAGGCATTTTGGGTGGTACTGTCAATTTAAACTTGCCACATGAAAAAGATCATCTTGATTTTATTATGAGAATTTGATTGATAAAAACTACCACACAGTCAGTTTTTCTACATTCATAAGATCCTAGTTAATCACTTTTATAATTTTCCCAATGACTAATGATGATGCAGGCTGAATCACAGGATATTAGTCATGATGGGTACATGAGTCAGGTTTAGTTCAATGTTTATGTCAACAAGAAGAGTGCTGATATTTCTCTAATCAGTAAAATTAAAGAATCATTTTCTGCTTTATCTAACTTGATTGATAACCCTCAATAGTGCAATGTGTATTGCAAACAGATTTTACAAAAAAATTCTTTAGATTAAATTTGCAGTTATTGGCCTATGAACATATAGGCATTAAACTATAACAGTTATATAGGCCTAAGGCTTACTTCATACTTCATACTTCTTTTCTTCATCTTTGACCAGCAGTTGCTGGATAGATTGAGTCGATACTAACTAACTAATAATTAGAACTATGCAGTCCATCGTCACAAAGAAAAATAAAAACTTAAACTTGAATTTACTGTTTGAATATTTACAGATTGGCGGCAGGATTTATGGTTTTTTGACCTCTTCAAAAAATTCTTCAATAGAGAAGAGAGGTGTTTTTTCAGCCATTTTTCAATTGTTCGCTTAAACTTGCGGGGATCAAGATCCTTGGTACTAGCTGGCAATGCATTATATAGTTTCATTGCTAGTATCGGGAAACAGTTTTTCTTCTTACTTAGCCTACAGAATGGCACATCGAGTTGGTCTTTACCTCTGGTGTTGTAGGAGTGTTGTTCTGCTCGTTTCGTAAGGGACAAGTTGTTCTCTTTAATGTAGGTCAAACTGAGCAAGATATACTGACTATAAATAGTCAGTATACCCAGTTTGCTGAAAATAGGCCTACTATGTTCTAGGTACTCAGCAGAATCGATCAGCCTTACAGTTTTTTTCTGCATGAACTATATTTCTAATGGTTTCTTTTTCTCCCATACCCTAAACATACCTTTCCAAAAAGTGTTTTGTAGGCATCCACAATCTCAAGACGCTGCACAATCCCTCGATGAGCCAAAATTTCAATAATTGCCTTTTCATCAGTCCCAAGCCCTTTCATAGCTTTACGCAATGCAGTTGCATCAGCATTGGCATCGAATGGGTTAGCAGGGTAAACAGTTGGAGTACACTAAAATTAAATGTTACAGAATATTAGTTAACAAGGTACAAGATAAAAATAAGGAAACAAAACACCGCTTATCAACTAAACTTATTTTGACCTTATGAAGGCTTAGGGCCTATAATCTGGAGGGCAAAACTGGTGTAGGCATCTGGTTTTATTACACAGGGTTTTATTGTACCAGAGGGCCTACAGTAGAGACAATGGGCATAGGGTATATAATAGAAGTAAAGTTAACTAAACAACAATAGAAGTGTGATCATTGGCCATTCTGTTTGATTGGTGTAAATTGGTCTGGTAGTACAGTACCTAAGTTACCAGCAGAAGTAAAACCCCGGAGGGATTTTAGCGAATACCATTTTAACTTAATTCCTCCTCAGACCCAGCAATGGGGGTGATCATATCTTTTTATTTAGACTATGTCACCTATTTCGTAAAAATATTTCCCCATGATAGAAATGTATCCCCAATTTTGGAGAGTGGAGTGTATTGTACAGAACGCCGGCCGAAACTTGATGATAAATTATATATTTCCCGAGTTAAAACGGAAATTCAGGTAAGAATTAGTGCGTACCTTTATTGCTGTTCCCTTCACTCACGTATCATAACTCAATAAATTCACAAATAACAATAATTACAATGGTATTGTTTGAAAGTACCGAGCAGCCAGTATAACCTCACTTTCAGGCCAGCTGAAGATGCAGTTACAGTCGCGTCAAAAGTAATACCTAGACCTTCAAATTTTCTCTCCGCTCACGATCTCTCCACTCACGTGATCGGAGAGAAAAACGTGAGCGAAGAGAATGTTTTGTGACCAAATAACTTCTTTAGAGAGATTTGTTGTCATGATTATAGTTATAAACTTTTACTTAAAACTATAAATTTTACTATTTTTCTTTTTTTTTCTATATTTTTAAGGGGGGGGGGGGGGGAACGTGAGCGAGGGGAAAAAATTTATGACATCCTGAAAGAAAATTGTATAATTTTAACAAAAAATGTTAGAATTAAGCTCAGCCATCTTTGTTTTCTTATTAAGGGATATATTTCTTTTGATTTAATAAATAAATGATTGTAAAAAAAAAATAATCCCCAAATTTTCCTTGAATTTGAGAACGACCCGTCAGATACCTACTTAAGTTACCTCCTCCATATCGGAGGGCAACCCAAGAAATCATTGATTTGAATGTAGTAGTAGGCTGGTCAGATATCCAGTACCAGTAGCCTACCTCAAATTTAAGTTATTAATGTGAACACAGAAAGTTTAGTCCAACAGCTTCTAACTTAAGTAATTTAGTTTAGGATAGGGACAGATTATCTATAGGCCTATGCTATAGGCGAGCTTTTTTAAGTTATTATTTAACCTACTGTAATGTGAACACGGAAATAGGCTCGTCCAAGTTAACATCTGAAAGTTTAGCCCAACAGTTTCTTACCTAGGCGGTAATTATTCCGACGTCGTGACTAAACTTAAGTCGCAAATTTCACGCCGAATCCGAAAATGACATTTTTATTTTTCGGAAAAAACCAGAAATTACCGAAAAAAACAAAAAACGGAAAATCTTTTTTTTACTCAAAATACGTCATGTGGGTACTCAAAATATGCGAAATATTGTGTAGATTTAGAATATGCAATAATCTTATGGATCCGATGAAAAACACCGGAGAAAAAAACAGAAAAATCGGTTAGGGTAGGTAAAGTTGGAAAATTAAAAAAAAAAAATATATAAGTTCGCGCTCAATGAAATTGTATAAATTATAGGCCTATAAATATTTGAAAATAGCCACTTTGTTCTAAATTTTATGAGGATTACAAATATATAATAACATAAGGAAGTAGATTTGCAAATAAATAAGATAATAAAAAACAGATTTCAGTACATAGCGTTTAGAATGCATAGCCTAACCATAGCTAGGAATCTGGCTGATAATTTACATCAATATCACTACCTACTTCTTCAGGATCATCAACCAGCCCTTCAAAATACCTTAAATCTTCTTATAATGCACCACGTATATCACTACTTTTGATTTTTAACACTAAAACAATGATAAACGTAATAAAACACATCAGTCATCGGTCCGAGGATAACCAAGCTGTTTACAAATACGCACGTCAGCTGTCTGCTACAATATTTTTGGAACTAAAATGAATAGCGCTTAGAGACAGACCTCCGGAGAAAGCTCTGAATCTGTAAAATAAAACGATACCTAACTCGATCCAGTTCAATCCGATTTTGTCAGTCATAGAGCCTTCGCCGTAAACAGTGTTTGTGAGTCGCTGCAGCGACACAAAACACTACACAAAGTGTGTTATGTGTCGCTGCAGCGACAAATAACACTCGGAGGGTTATACATTGTACATTTTAACAGCGATATCTTTAGTAAATTTAATGGTAGACCTAATTATTCCGACGTCGTGACTAGTCGCAAAAGTGAAAATTTTTTTCCCACAATGACCTAAATTTCACGCCGAATCCGAAAATGACATTTTTATTTTTCGGAAAAGACCGGAGATTAAGTTAGGCTACCGAAAAAACCGAAAAAAATTTTACCCAAAAACTGTCATGTGGGTAGGCCTAAACAGCAATAGGCAGATCTTCAGTAGGCCTACCCAATAGTCACCATTAACTTAGCTGTGAAAAATAATGGTATAACATTTGGATTCAGGAGGTCAAAACCTATAAAGTAAGGTAGCCTGTCAAAATTAAAAATTCATTTTAACAATCTTTTTCAAAGTAGGTTTAGCCTCACTTTATTATGCCTACCTATAACTTACATCTGGTAAAAACATTGTAAAGATTAGGGCCTAATGCTTATAGCCTAAACTTTATAACCTAGTAAGTATTACTTACCATCTTAGATTAGGCCTATCTCTTGATTGGAAGGTAAAAGTTTTGAATTTAAAGCAGTTGGATGGTCTATATATTGACTAGCCTACCTCTGTAGCCAGACTTTACTTATTAGGCCTACCTACTTCTTGTGAATTAATTAATTTTCTAAGATCAGCCTACAATAACTGCAAAGGTTTCTAAGTAGGCTATGACACATTTACTATAGAGTTGGAAATATCGATGATCTCATCAATTACAAAAAAAGTAAACTCAATTTCACTCACCTTGAATGGATAGTACTGTTGAGCGGACATGGTTGAAGTGTAAACTTAAATTAAATACTGATCTCTACGAATATATTATCTTCACAATAATTGAATAACCACAATTTTGAGAACAGGAAGCAACAGAAACAGACGTTTGACACGGTACTAACTAAATGCCAGAGCACTAACTAAGAGCAGCAGCAGAGACTTTGCCTTCCTTATTTATTTATAGTCCATTAACCTAATCATCTTTATCTTTCTTTAAATAAATGTTCAACTTCTTATTCTTCTTCACTCTGTATAGAATAGAAATATAACCAGGAGAATGGCTAAGAACCACCACTGAGCTATGTTAGCTAATTGCTTATAGCACGGCCGCCTTATGCTTAGTTAGCTACAAAGAAAAATGTTCAATGCTCGATTGCTTTTTCTCACTGGCTTTGTTTTTGGTGCCACGAAAATTAATTTTCCTACAGTTACCTAACAATGTACATGTTCTCTCACTGATTTAAGAAAGCAAAGTGGCCAATTCGCTCATCAGTGAGACAATGTTAACATTGTCTCACTCTAATTACTTTGTCTCACTCCAGATTTGCAACGTGAAGGCACGAAATAGTGAGCGCGTAACATCCAGGCAACGTCGTATGCGCGCGAAATACGTTGGCAGCACTGGCTGTAAATCAGCTGGTCAGCTGTTGTACTGTTGTATTTGTCACTTCACATTAAATGTTATACAGGGTGAGTTTTAATTGTCCCCCCCCCCCAACTTTTTTCTACATTTTTTCAAATATCAATCCCAGACCACTTCCAAACATTGTTGGGTAGTAAGTACTTCATTTTGACAAGGTGGTCATTTCCGGCCGCCATCTTGGATCCGCCATATTGGATGCAAAATTTTTTTTTCAAATGTAAAGGTGGGGTTGTGACCCATTATTTCGAACTACATTTTTACCTTGATTACAATGCCGCAAACCTTTTTTAAAAATCTTGATTCATTCTAAAGTTACGATGGCTTTTTAAAACTTTATTTTTAGCCCATTTTAACATTGTGCATTTACAAACTAAGACCATAATCCAGGGACGTATTTAAGTATCTGCCGCCTCTAGGCAACAAAGTTTGCCGCCGCCCCTCCCGCTCCCACTTTTCAACGCACTCCACGACCTCACTAATATCACCCCAATGGCCAATACATGCCCTGTCAGCTGGTTTTGTGGAAAAATAATCGGTAATATTGCATGCTGCATCAACAAATTTAATAACTTTTCACCACACTATGATGTTTTTAGCGGTTTTACATGCGTTAATTGGTGGCTGTAAGTTACGTTTTGCTGGCCATGCCAGCTGTCATCGTCATTTGGGGACCGAGCAGGTTCTTACATCCCTAGGGCCGCAAAATCAGCTGATCGCTTACTTTTTTAAACATGAATGCATATTAAATACACAATCAGTATCCATAGCATTGCAATAGAATTGTTTTATTTTCACCGCTGCCTAGCAACTATTTATTTTAATTTTTGCTGATTCCTCAAATTATTTCTTCACATAACCTTAAAGTTCTAGTTGTGTTGACTATCAGTGTGCATCATTATTGTGGTGAATAGTGCTATTAAGGTATAGTGTGGTGGAAAATGGCGTTCGTACCACGGACCGAAATGGTTTTGCAGCTCTCGATCGTTTTAGGTTGACTTCGTCTCGAACCTAAAAACTATCTTGAGCCGGCGAAACCTCATTTTCGGCTCTAGGTACGAAATATACTATTTCGACCCCTTTTAACGGACGTTTTTTGTGCCGTTTTTTGCAAAACATTCTGACTTGGATAGGCCTACACGGAATGCACCATTTTTTATCTAATCAGTACGTATTTTTACAATCACATTTTGCGGCTTTAAAAACGGCACACAAAATCGTCTGTATACAATGGTTCTTATAACGCTTTTCATTGAACACTATTAGTCAGATCCACTTGAGAAACGTGCTATTGGCTTTGATTTGAAATGAAAGAAATATGTTTTCTTAAACTTTTTTTATCTTACAAAAAACACATGAATCGCAAAGAAAAATTACGTACTTTTACTGAAAGAATAATATACAATTTTAAATTAGTTAAGTTTGGTACAGTGGTAAGTATTTAGTTCACACTTTCCTTCTTGATTTTAACCTAGCAAAAGAATCTTTCAGCTATAGTGCTGCCACTGCGTAGTGGTGTATGAAGTAAACTGAAGGGAGTGTTTTCTACGTTTGTCACTAGACATAGCGGCCGGCACGGCGACCCGCTCCCGCGGCGAGCGTGTCTGCCAGACCAATAGGGCAGCACGGACAACTCTACACAGCTGTGTAATAAACTATTGACGTTTGTTTGACTTGGATGCGTTCTGAAATAGTTGTATACTTATAATAATCAAAATATTTGAAATGGCTATTTCGCCGTTCCCAAAATTATTTGCTAAAATCTTTTTTAGATTAAAACTTCGTTTTTTTATTTGTTTACCCTCAAAATTTTGCCGCCCCTAAAATTTGCCGCCCTAGGCGGGCGCCTAGTCCGCCTATTCGGAAATATGTCCCTGCCATAATCCCAAAATAGTGCTAGATAATGATAAGTATACACTACCAGTAATTGTCCACCTATTTTCACTTGGTTATGACTGATGTATTTTTTTCGGCCGCCATCTTGGATCCGCCATTTTGAAATGTGATAAATTATTTTAAATATGAATGGGGTGTTGTGACCCATCATTTCGAACTACTTTTTTAAGCTGAACTTAATTCCATAATCCGTTTTTCATTTTCATTTTTTGATTTTGAAATATTGACATTTTTAACAAAAAATTTCAATATTTCATAAATAAAACTTGATAACAAAAAATGGATTGCGGCATTGAGTTTAGCTTAAAAAAGTAGTTCAAAATGATGGGTCACAACACCCCGTTCATATTTAAAATAATTTATCACATTTCAAAATGGCGGATCCAAGATGGCGGCCGAAAAAAATACATCAGTCATAACCAAGTGAAAATAGGTGGACAATTACTAGTAGTGTATACTTATCATTATCTAGCACTATTTTGGGATTATGGTCTTAGTTTGTAAATACACAATGTTAAAATGGGCTAAAAATAAAGTTTTAAAAAGCCCTTGTAACTTTAGAATGAATCAAGATTTTTAAAAAGGGTTTGCGGCATTGTAATCAGGGTAAAAATGTAGTTCGAAATAATGGGTCACAACCCCACCTTTACATTTGAAAAAAAAATGTTGCATCCAATATGGCGGATCCAAGATGGCGACCGGAAATGACCACCTTGTCAAAATGAAGTACTTACTACCCAACAATGTTTGGAAGTGGTCTGGGATTGATATTTGAAAAAATGTAGAAAAAAGTTGGGGGGGGGGACAATTTATTAAAAGATCACTTCTGTGTAAAAATAGGTTATGTTTCTTCACCAATTTATTCGTTTTATGGTAACTGTAGGAAAAGTATAATGTGCAACTCGAGTTCAAAGTACAATTGCCTCACTCGAGAAACCATTCCTCACTCGCCTACGGCTCGTAAGGATTTCTCTCGAGTGAGTCAATTGCTCACTTTTCTCACTAGTTGCACAAATAACTATAGTTTTCATCAATTTTTAAATAATAACTAGTTAAATTATTGTAACTGTGTAGTATTGTAACTGTATTATTTTATGTACTGGCCTTTATCTGTTCGAAGAATAAAAAAATCAACTTGTACTTTTAAATTATGTAATAGGATATTCCATAGACCTTTTCGTAATTAACTTCAAATTTCATAGATTTATGATTCATCTATATTTATAAATAATTTCTAACGCATTGGAAAGTCCACTTAAATTCAACTAAATGTGTGACCAAAATATATTCCCTGAAAAAAACATAGGCCTACCGTACTACATTGCCACATGAAATTCAATTTTATTGTTCAATAAGTTTATAATCTTTTTGCAGTTTTTACGTTTTTACACATTGAAATACGTGATTGATAATTCAGTTCATTTTAGTCTTTTAAAGGTGTTTTACATTTGAGTCTTACATTAAAATAGCCCTACATATTTTTCGTAGGCCTATGTTTTATCTTTGACTATCAATACAACACTAGACTTTCCACCCCCATGGCCCCCATGTTAAATTTGTAGCCAGCTTTTCATCAAAATCTTCTGTATCCAATGGCCAATGGTTTTATTAAGACCAGTACGGAACATTCCGTCTCTAAATCGTCCTAATAATGGTAGAAAACCAACATTCCATAGTTACATTACAATCATATCCTCCATCAAGAATAGGCCTACTACTTGGTATTAACCACGGCCGCCTTTAACTACAGGCCGTGGCCTCTTCGAACTGGCAACGTCGCAAGTGGTGTTACAGCTGTTTTTGTTTGGAAGCAGCTAATGGTACACAATTAATGTATTTACGAAAGATTGGTTACTGGACTATGAATGACTCCGCTTAAAAATGTACACCCTAGTAGCACAAATATGTATTTTATAAATATTTTATATATTTAAAGTTGTATTTGATAGAACCTCGAATAGAATATATAAATAATATATCTTTAATAACAGTTTGATATATTCAAATATATATTTAAAATATTACCATAAAGCAATGCAAAATATAAATTAAATATAAGTTTTGAATATATAAAATAGATTCATAATATATATTGATCAAATAAGTATAGAATCTATAATATAAATATTTTATATGTATATTTTTCCTATTAAATATTTTAAAAAATTATGTGTTGAGAATCTTTTAAATATATATATAAAATATTTTTGAAACTATATTATATATTTAAAGTATTTATAAATACATTTTGAAACACGTCATTTATTTTTATTAATAAAATAATAATATATTTGTAGAATATAGGCTATAGCCTATAATCTTTTATAATTAGCAAATAAATAATTTGCATCTTTTTGTTTTTT